ATTGAACATAATTAAAGCATAGTGATTAATCACAAAAACATTATGTAATTATATATGTGTTTTCCGATGGTCTTAGGCGACCCCTGTGAAAGGGTCGAGACTCACAGGTTGAGAACCGCTGGATTAGATGGTAATTAGAAGTTGAGCCTGGCACAGTTGGTGTGCTTGCAGTCCCAGCTTCTCTGGAGACTGAGGCAGGAGGCTCTCTGGAGCCCGGATGCTGGGCTGGATGCTGGGCTGTAGTGCCTGCACTAAGTGTGGCAGCAATATGGTGACTTCTAGGAGTGGGGAACCACCAGGTTACCTAAGGGGAGAGGTGAACCTGCCCAAGGCAGAAACAAGCATGTTAAAACTGGTGCTATTGGATGTGGAGAGAGCAGAGCGCCTGAAGAATGGGTGCTTCGTGATTAACACATCCAACAGCAACTTGGGCTTACTCCTCACGGGTGGCAGCATACCATGACCTTCCTGGGACATTTCGCCCAACAATAACAAAAACACACAACTGGTGCTGATCACCTGTGAATAGCCATGCTAGTCTGGGCAACATAGAGAGACCCCGTCTCTTTTGCCCCTCCCTGATTTAGGGAATCCTGTATCTCCTAATATTCCCTGTGATATATAGATATTGGACCTCATGGCTACATTTCATGAACCTAAGGTAGTAAAAGTATTGGTTGATTTAGACTTTACTTAGAGGATTATGTGGAGCTTGGTTAATACTCAAACTTGCTTTTCAGACCTTGAAAGCACCCATCAATTATGGTGTTTTATGATTTTTAGCTCCCTCCTTTGAAGTTAATATTTATTTTGTGTCTATTACGAATACAGGTATGGTAGACGAGATTAAAAGTATTGAGAACTTAGGGTCTGGTTGACTAAAAGGTTGCATTTAAAAAGAAAGGATGAATGCCATGTTTTCCAGGCGGTCCTCCATGAATATTTGTGTGTAAGGAAATGAGAGTGGTAAGTGCAGGTTAGCACTGAGTTTGATGTTCCTTCCTCTGACAAACAGCAATACGGTGTGGACTAAGTCACCCTTTAAGGGCAGATTCCTGGGGTGGAGATAGAGTGGGCGTCCTTTTCAGAAAACCGGGGAGTCTGACCAGGACTTGTAGAAAAGCTAGGCTGCGTTTAGTGCAGGTATGTATGTGTGATCGAATCCTATGAATGAAATTTAGGTGTTATAGGATATGTATACTTTATTGATAGTTACTGTCAAATTGCCCTCCAAACGGCCATATCAAGACACACTCCCATCAATGCAATGGGTTATAAGAACAGAAAGTCCTTTTTTTTTTTTTTAAATTCTTTATTAGTTAAGGTATTACAAATGTGTCCTCATCCCCCCCATTAACTCCCCCCCCACCTCATGCTCTCATCCCCCTGTTGTCCATGTCCATTGGTTTGGCTTATATGCATGCATACAAGTCCTTTGGTTGATCTCTTCCCCTTGACCCCTCCCTCCCCTACTTTCCCTCTACGGATTAATAGTCTGATACCTGTTTCTCTGTCTTTGGATCTGACCCTGTTCATCAGTCTATGTTGTTCTCTATATTCCACAAATGAGTGAAATCATGAGGTATTTATAGAAAGTCCTTCTTTTGGAGTGGTTATTAAAGGCTGGTGGCAAGCTTTATTTCATACTAGAGGCCCTGTGCACGGGTAGGGTCCCTAGGCCTTACCTGCGATCAAGTCCATTCTGCGGGGCAACCTGTGGGGCGGTTCAGGGTCCCCCGCTGGCACCCACCTTGGCCAGCCTGGCGCCGCCCACTCGCTGGTGCTGCTCCCCTATCGCCCCGCTGCCTTCGTCACTGGTCACCTCCCTCTGCTCATGGTCACCTCCCTTTGCGGGGCGACTGGTGTGGCGATTGGGGGGGCCCCCCGCTGGCACCCACCTTGGCTGGCTTGGGGCCTGCGGGCTGGGGGCAGCTTCTGCATTGAGCGTCTGCCCCCTGGTGGTCAGTGCACATCATAGCTACCGGTTCACTGGTCATTTGGTTGATCTGTATATTAGGCTTTTATTATATAGGATTTTTACTAATTCTCTCCCTTTAGTGCAGTGATGGCGAACCTATGACATGCGTGTCAGAGATGACACTCTAACTCTTTTTTTGGGGTTGATTTTTCTTTGTTAAATGGCATTTAAATATATAAAATAAATATCAAAAATATAAGTGTTTTACTATGGTTGCAAATATCAAAATTTCTGCATGTGACACGGCACCGGAGTTAAGTTAGGATTTTTCAAAATGCTGGCGCGCCGAGCTCAAAAGGTTCGCCATCACTGCGTTAGTGGAACAGAGTCTCAGTATGTTGTCACACTGTAGGCAGATTCTTTCCTTTTAAAAAATTTAATTTATTGGGGTGACATTAGTTAATAAAATTATAAATTTCAGGGGTACAACTCTAAAATACCTCTGTGGGCAGATTCTTTTTCATTCTTTATTGTTTCAAGTATTACATATAGTATTAAACATGTCTCCTTTTCCCCCCATTGACCTCTCCCTGGCGCCCCGTTGGCAGACTTCTTTTTGCAGTAACCTAGCTTTCCTACATGTGCATTGGTTTTCTAGGGCTGCCGTAACAAATTACCTCGAACTAGTGGCGTAGCATAACAGAAATGTGTTGGCTCACAGTTCTGGAGACCAGAAGTCTGAATCAAGGTGATGGCAGAGCCGTGCTCTCTCTGAAGGTGCGGGGGAAGGATCTGTTCCAGGCCTTTCTCTCCTTGCTTCTCGTAGTTCCTTGGCTTGGAGCAGCATAACTCCAGTCTTCACATGCAGTCTCCCTGGCGCATACTTATGTCCACATGTGTCCTCTTTGTAAGGACACCAGTCATGATGGATTAGGGCCCCACCATACGTCAGGATGACCTTAACCAGTTACTAGCCGACATTACAACTCGTCCACCTTCTCTGTTTCATTCTTTTAAAACATATATATATTTGAAGTTTATTTTATGCACAAAGAGATAGCATTCTGTCGTAAGGTAGCTGTCTTGAATGACCCATTCATGGAAGTTCGCTTAGTCCAACTTAATGAAGCCCATGTCCTTCGGGTCCTGACAGAAACACTGGTGGCACAGGTTGAGCCCGTATTTCCAGACCAGACCGTGCTGGTTGAACAGACGCTGCAAGAACGAGAACCCTGGCCGGATTTTCTCGGGTGGCTCCAGTAGAGTTTCTGGTGACCCATCTTGCTCTCTCTGTAGCAACGAGGAAAATAGTCTATTTCATTCTTGACTTAAATTATCCAAAAACACTGACTTATTTGACTGAGCCATTTGGACATTTGACCAAACGTATTTAAGGTGTTACTAAAGTATTTTATTTCAAATCTTACTGCAATGAGTAATCTTCCTTTACTCAAGAATCTTCACAATATGAGAATCGTTCACAATGTTGCCAGTAACTTAAGGTTTTACAAACGTACATCTAAAACACTTAGCAATTTCTCCAGCAGAGAGACCTCCCTTGAAAGCTCCTCTTTTGCCAGGAGACATCATTGCCAAAAATGTTCTATGTCTAATACATATAA